TATATGGTTCGATAGAGGTGAGCGCGGGCTATCAGAATATGTATAGGATATTTCATTTTAATCTTAAAATAAAAGAGAAAACGTTCTCGCAAAAATCAGAACTTTTCACTCTGACCATGATTTTCTCGAATTTTTGAAAACTGTATTTTGCATATTTCAACCCTAATCCATAATCAAACTCATAACAATTTATTACCAAAATGATCAGCTCATCGAGCTCTACAGACCCTGAAAATTGCAGCCAATTCTAAGAAAGTCGATGTAAACGTGGTACGTTTCCCATGGATTCACCCATTCCAGTTTGGCATTTATTCAATGATATTCGAATTGAAAGAGGAATGAAATGACGTGTTTCGACTCATATGCTTCAATGTCGAGTTATTCAAGGAAAAGAACAATATCAATTAATTCCGGCTTCACAACAAATCGATTATAGTACAGATATTTTGTTCTCAAAATTAAATAGATTTTTAAATAAAATCATTTTTGATTTCTAGATAATATTAATTCTCAAAATAATCAAATATTTGATTTTAATGAAATTACACAATAACAACACCTCATCTTCATCACAATTGCCACTTCGTTTAATGAAAAATATCTCGTTACCCATTTCAAAATCTCTTCTTCAAAATCCAACTTCATTATGTAAACCACATCAAACTATAGAATATAGCAATACTGCCAATTTTCAAAATGATAATGATCAACAAAATATTGGTCCTCTTGACCAAGAACTGTTCAATTTTGAACAAGACATTTTAAAAGATAATAACTATTCATCGATTGTTTTTGATTTGAAGAAAATTCGTAATTCATCTAATGATACATCATCGGTTCTATGTACACCTGGTATGTTTGTTTTGAAATCATTTTCATCTAGCCTTTTAAAACATTTATGTAATTTTTAGTTCATTTATCAATTATAACAGATTATCAATTGCGCGAACCGATTCTAGACAAGATTAATCCAGAGAAACAAACAGAAAAAGTTCAAGAAACAAGTCAGAAAAATTTTTGCTCATATGACTAAAAGATTTTTATTCATATTTAGATCAACTTCAATCGATTATTCAAATGACTGAATCATATTGCGATACAGATAAGAATTTACAAACGACACAAGTGATATCGAGTGGTATGTCAAACTAGTTACGAAACATCTATTGATAAAAAATCTTTGAATCAATTATAGATCTTATTGAAAATAACAGTACCTCTTTCAAACGTCCATTACAAGAAGAACTTGTTCACAAAAAAAACGATTGAGAAATAATGAAACTACAAGTGAACAATCAATAATGCCATCTTCAAATTTAAAAACATGTTGCACTCTATCGCTACATGATTCACCGATTTTAACTGAATCAGTTATTACCATCGGTATGTTTTGCTCAATTAAATTGACATAAAAAAAATCCTGAATGCAAATCAAATAAATGTTGATAACATTTATAATATTGGTCACTATTGTATACCATATTGTTTATAAATTCACTAGGCTATATAACATAAAACACCGAGATGAATCAGATTTTATCTTTGCTAGAAGTAAATACTAGACAGGATACATGAGTATAGATAAATGTAAAAGCAACATTCACTTTTTCGTTTATCTTTCGCTCGTGAAACTATATACTAATTGTTCTAGTTATTAGTTCGTTGAGATTATGTTTCTGACTGAACACATGTCTTTCAGAAAATAAAATTGCTAGAGTTTGTATCACGAAGATACGTGGTGTCTAGCTAAATGAAAATTTCTAACAAGAAAATCGTGTATTTTGCACTTGAGAATGAACAAATATCCTTTAGAGAAGAAAAAGAAATGAAACAACTAGAATGCTGAAATGATTTCATTTTTCCAGTAGAGTTTTTCTAACTTTGATAGAATCATTCTATTCACGTAAGATGTGTTGTCAATGAATTATTTAATTGTCATATCATTCCAACGTTTTAAATTAGAACAAAGTCATGTCTAATCAAACTATATTTTATTTTTATTTTAGATGATCCTCATAATACGGAAGAAGTTGCTGATGAATATAATTCAATGGAAATCGATACAGATTTAAATCGAGTTGATTCTACTACATTTCTATCATCAACTACTGGTAACACCTCAAATGTCAACATCGATGATATTCCTGGTATTTCGTCGTTTCTAAACACATTGATGGAACATGCGGATCATATATCGAATTCAAGCACATCTGAACATGGTATGTTAGTAGTCATTTTAATTTGTGTTTGTTCAAAGAGTACGAAGGAGAGACAGGTATCTCATTTTTTTTATTAGTTACAATAGCTGAGTAGCAGAATACATTTGATAGAAGAATACTGATTTATCAATTGTTCGTATTTTATGTGTTAATACATTGTTTTTTATGTAGTTTCTTTTCCACATAGTAATTGCAAGATAAAGTAGTTCGTCAATCATTTATTTACTTTAAACAAAAAAGTATACGGTGAAGCCTTCAACCTCTTTCAAAAGATCATTTTCAACACTAAAATGATATGACAGAAATTTACAGATAGTATATCAAGCAGTTTTTTTTCTTTTCTCTTTTCGTTGTGTTCTGAATATTGTACTACGACAACTTAATTTCTCCCCTTCGTAGTGCAATGTCCAAGACAGAACGAAAAGAGAACAGGAAAAACAATTATTTTGTATACTATCTGTAAATTGCTGTCATATTATTTTAGTGTTGACAATGACCTTTTGAAAGAGGTTGAAAGTTCCACTGTTTATCTTTTTATTTAAAATAAATAAATGATTGATGGACTACTTTATTTTGCAATTAGTTTATTCAATTACATTTCATCAAACAACATTAGTATTTTCTACATATTCTAAAAAGTAATAACCAGTATAATTCTTGTAGAAAAATATGGATAATTACTAAAAAAGAGGAATTAAAAAGACGAGAGAATAATAGAAATAGTGGAAATATGTCTTATAAGATGATTTAGTGCTGAGAAATCGTGACATATATAAAGTTTTAATAATTTGTTTCTGTTTATGATAGGTGTACAGAGAGACACCGACGCTAGTATATCATTTCTTGATACAACAACATCAACTTCAGGTTCTACTATTGCTATTAAATCTAAATTAGATCGGCAAAATAAACACCTCGATATTGGTATATCATTAATTTCCAGTGAAGTACATGAAGGTGATTGTAAGTAACTTTCCATCCTATACATTATCAGTATTGATACTCATTAAATCTTGTTTTCTTCAACAGTAGGCCAAGAATGAACTGAGGAAATAACATCTGAAATTTACCAAAAGTTAATCTTGTCACATTCAACAGTAATGTCAAAAACAGATATTTGTGTTAAACTGAAACATTTGTCTGTATCTGCATAAAATCGAGAACAAATTATTCGCAATTTAGTAAATGATAAGTTAGTTTTTATGGGCGATTGGTTTGCTACGAAGAATCTAAAAGGTATAGTAAGTTTAACAAATGGTTATCTTAATGGACGTCCTGAAAATGGTACTCAACAACAAAAGCACTTTGCCAGTGCCCTGGCAAAATATGGTATCGATTTTACTGATTTCGATCAGTCTTTCAAAAAAGAAAAAGCTGAAAGTCTTCCACGGACACTTGATGTATCAGATATTAAACAATCTTCTTAGCTTTATTCACAAGAATTAGTTAACACCATAAATTCGAATAATTTTCTAAAAAAAAGATTGTCAATTGATCCATCAGCAGTACTTCACGAGTCAAGTAGTAAGGAAAACTTTAATCTCTTGTAAAATGAAAATATTTTTGTTTTATTGTTAGAACCAAAACGTAATAAACGTATTCAAGTATCAAAGTAGCATTATTCAACGTCTAATTATAAATAAAAAAATTGCTATTATTTTACTATCACATGCATTTATATCTATATAATTTTTTAGATCTATTTTATATTTGATTATCATAAGCATTTTTTCGATTGTATATATGCTTTATGATTCATCATGTAAAGATAATCTCTTGTCTCTTTTATAATTTAACAAAGAAAAAAAAACTTTTACATATTTTTTTAGCAAAAGAGTTCAAGACTATGTATCTCTTCACTTTCATATTATTTTTTTTCTCTATTGTAAATTCATTTTGAACTAACTCTTTTCTGTTCTATTTATATATATTCTGTGTGCAAAAGTATATACATGTATATTTTTCTTGCATACATTGTTTTTTTATTAACGTTCTTTTTTGAACATTTTATTAAATTTTCCATTTACAATTTTTATCGTCTTCAAACGATATATAACCTGTAATGGAATTTTTGAATAAATTATGAAATAAAAATCTGAAAGACTGGACAATAGCTAAAGCTACAATACAAACCAGCATTTCGATAAGAGAAAACGAGAAACAATCATTGTACTACATAATATTTTCCAACAATTTCAACGTAAACCAATTTATGTCATTATATAATTCATAAACATTGAATTTCCCATTTGTAACATTAAAATTCTAATTTTCATAATACCTAATTTACACATTACTGATAGCATACGACGACAATATGCAGCCAGCAGAGAGAGCAGAAGCTCTTTGTGAAAATTTCCCTTCACCAAAATGCGAATTCTAGAAAAACATTCTACATGGATAATATCTTTGTCTAAAAGAAATAAGAGATATTTCAAATTGTTTGTTCATAATTCTAAATGATAAATTGATGTTTATTAAATAATTTATACTTGAGAAAATGATGCACATAATATACGAGCAAGGGTCAAAAAAAAAGTCAAACGACCATAACATCGTTGTCTAATGAAAATAAGAGATGTTTCAAATTGTCTGTTCGTAATTCTACATGATGATTCAATATTTATTCGACAATTTATGACTCATAAGATGATGCTTATAATATATGAGCAAGGAGAAAAAGAAAAGAAGTTAAACGAAAGTTACATTTTTTTAGCGAGAATAGAGATGTTTACATTTTTTTCATAATTTTAAATGGGCGTTTAATATTTATTCGATAAATTAAGAAATGTCTTTCCATGGTGGTTTGAAGTTTCTACAATCCGGATCTTTACATTTAATTTGATATTTATATGTAACAGTACCAATAACAATACAAGTGTGATTTGACTTATGATGACGTTGTAATCGTTCACAAAAGCGAAATTCACCACCAATGTTATAAAATAATAACGAGTGATTTTTAGTCCCTTGTTGACATGATAGTACGTAACCATTTGTATGATATGTTTTTGCTATTAATTTTGAAATAAAATTTTTAAAATGATCTTGTTTGTTGGATACTTCAGTTGTATTTATTGTAGTTGTTCTTTTTACTCGATTAGCTACGCATGCAGATGTGTTTGATATAGTTAAAGATGTAAAATAATTTGTAGTAGTTAAGTTCATTATGTGATTTTTATGTCGGTCGGTTAATGACCATTTACTCTCATTATATGAAAAGATTAAAAGATTTGTATTATTTATCGTGTAAGATATTAATGCATGATTCAAATTTGAATCATAATTGATGATATTATTCATAAACATATCATGTTGTTCATTTTGTCCATTGAAAGGAAAATCAGATGTTGTTAATAAAGGATTATCTTGTCCAAATTTCGTTGCTTTGTATAATCTGAATTGTTGATTTTTAGTATAAACATGAAGATCAAATATCCATTGGTAAAAACCATTTAAATCTATTGAAAATGAAATCATATTAATCAAATAAATGGCGAAAAAATAAAAGTACTTTTGAATAGAAGCTTTTGAAAGTTATTGCAAGTTATATAAGTTGAAGGTATTATACAATTACAGAAATCTGTACGAGTTAAAATTGTTTGTAAATGTATAAGACAATTATTGAAATTGTTTTCTGTATGTATATTAATAGATTGTAAAAATTGTTGGTGGCATGAATGTGATAGAATAAAATATGAACAATAGTACAATATCATCATAATGAATTGAAAGATGGTTTGTTGTGATTCAAATCGTACAATTGTATTTGTATAAATCAAATGATAACTATGTTTTAATTCTGTTGATGCAGATAAAACAAGAAAATGATCAGCAATTGATGTTGAATTACGTGTAAGTTGATTAGTACAATTTGAAATAATATAATGAAATAGATTTTGTAAGATTGATAGAGACTCTTGGATATTTAATAACAAAGATTTGTCTATATATATATCAACATCGAAATATAATTTACAAAAATTATTTTGACATAGAATCTCATATAATGTACGTTTGGGTGATTCTAAAGCATGTAATAATTTTGATAATTCGACAATTGTAAGACTTAAAAAGTGGCGCTTTCGATTATTATGTTCAACTGCGATAACAAAGAAATGTTGTTCATTATTGTTTCTTGTTGATATGTCGATCAATAAAGTATTAAGTGTATAATATATTTTAATCGATGGTAAGATAAAATGTATGTAATGTGTACCTTGTAGTAGCGTGACCGCTCACATTTTATTAACACAGATTTGACTGTAGTGCAATAGATTGCAAGAATGTTTCAAGCGTCCATTGATTCAAGGTGAATTCAGTTTGCTTTTTATATCTTCTATCAGCTTCTATGTAAGAATTTATTTTGCACTTCTGCAATCGCAAAAGAATTGTTTACGAACGAAAAATATTGTAAAGACTATGTAATCAAGGTTCTATATTTGATCAGTGGTGCTCAATTTATATCTTAGGATTGATTCTAGGTTTTTTCGAGATCAAGAGAGTAGAGATATATATCTTTCACATCTTCTATAAGAAAAAGTCTATTGGTCAATAATGCTTCGTGTGTGTTCCCTAGTGAAAGATCATAGATCAAAGGCCAATTCACCATCCTACTCCTGTACCTCAAATATCTTCTATATCTCCAGTATCTTCTATATCTCTAATATCTCCGATGCCTCCTATATCTCCTATACTAGGACTTAATTGAGTTTCTGACGAAATTCATAGAAGATATCATATGGTTTTGAGAGAAATTGATGAAAAGCATGATGCGTTAACTCGACTATTTTGTATACCCCCAAGGTCTCCAATATCTCCTTATACCTTTTATATCTGTTTATACCTGCTGTACCCCCTTATACCTCCTTATACCTCCTATACCTTCTTATACCTCCTTAAATCTCCTATACCTCTTTATACCTCCTATACCTCTTTATACCTCCTATACCTCCTTATACTTCCTATACCTACTATATCTTCATAAACAAAAAAGTAAAGGAGTTTCCGGAAATTCAAATAAGGCATCATACGAAGGTAAGAGAAAATATATAAACTAAATGTATTAAAAATGTTTATGATCCGCAACAAAGAAATGATGAAAACAAAGAACTCTATCACACCAGCTGCAAGTTATAAAACTTCCTCCGTCACATCTACTGACAGAACAAGTATCTATGGTGAAAGAAAAGCAAATGTCACGAACATTTTGAAATTGTCCAGACTTTTGTTTGGTGTATCCACAAGAATACTATGCGTACTTAATCATTACAGCAAATCAATCAGAAGAAGGTTGATTATGAATCAAAGAGTGTAGTTTTAAAATACTATTTCTTGATCTTAAATCAATATTCAACTGATCAACTGATACATGATCAAAATATCTTTGATAAAGGTATTTCCATTGTCTAAAGGAATACTTATCACAAGGCTGAATATCAGCTGTTGTCTTCGGTGGAATCTGTAAAACGTCACATTGAATATTGTCATCGAAAGCTTCAAGAATATTTTCAAAATCAGTTTGTTCTGACCATGAATCCAAAAATAAAAGGCAATTTTCTTGAACAGATGGTCGTAAAACTTCTTGCGCCCAATATCTAATGTGAGATTTTCGTCAGTTTTCTCGATTTACTACAAGTTACATGAATATTTTGTGCTTTATAAAGCGTCTGTAATACTCTGGGACCTAATCTTCCGGATTTTTTTTGTAAGCAGACAAGCACTGGGCCTAGAATTCTACCACCCATACTTAAAATAGGCATGATTGTGTGTAAATGTGTAGCCGCATTTTGCGAAGCTAGACGACTCAAAATTATTTTCTCACCCGAGATTGAAAGAGTGCATGTCGAAGGTACCTCATATTCGAAAGCACTTTGGTCAGAGTTGAGAACATGTGTAGATCTAAATCGGGAAATAGCTTGTTCGGCCTTATCAAGAAATATCTTCTCATCATTAAGAATTTTTTCTCGATCATCCATATAGTTTTTAGTGACAGATTTAGTAACTTTTCTTGACGTGATATGGTGACGGCGTTTGAAATTAAGCAACCAAAAAGAAGATGCAACAAAGTCAAGTAAGTTCATTTCTCGCGCTTTTCTGATGGCAAATTGTCTTAAATCATGATCCTGAATCGGTAGACATTTGCTTCGTACTTGGTTAAATTTACTCAAAACGAAGCTATCAATTTGTTCTAATTTTTGACGTTTTGTTTCCTGCTGCTTGACGTATTTTCTTACTCTTCTTAACTGCTTTTTATCCTTGATCAAACGGTACCGGCGTTTGACCGACGACAACTAATGAGTATCTGCAAATTCTACAATATCACGCATAGTTTAATAAGAATAGGAATGGCTACTGGCTGTGTAAGTTTCCTCGTTAGTATCGGATTCACTTGTATAAGATTCGCCCGCATCATAATCGTCGATATCATGTGTGTGTATAAACGATGATATGAAAAAAGAGAGAACTTACTAGAGAACACCAGAAAAATCATTCACTTTCTATACAGAACGACAAACGTGACCAGAGAGAAAAAAGCAAATATACTACGCACATGTTAAAAGAGAAAAGATAAGTATATATTTATATATTTCAACAGAAGTAAAAAGAAAGATCAAACACACATATAGAATGTTTACACGATAAAAATATTGAAGGAAGAGAGCGAGATGATACACAAAACAACATCACTTGGTGTTATGGCAATCATCTTTTTTTTCCATCTCGCTATACTATTTGAATTTTATCTTTAAGTTTTTCTTTAAACTATCATAATTACATATTCAGAAAGCCAGTAAGTATATGATGAGAAGAAATAAATCTTCTACATCGTATCGTGCTCAATTTGAACTCATTTTTAGGAGAAAAATGTCTGTTTTCGTAATTTTTATAATAGTGAAAAAATGATGAAAAAGCTCATAGCTGTAGCATACTGAGAAATGAAAAAAGTTGATTCTCTGTTTTTTCCAAAGTTGAACGAAAGCAGCTAAGAGATTTAGATTCGTGATATCCATCAAGGTCCCTATAGGATAGAATAGTTTAAAATCCTTTCTCAGGAGGGGACACTCTAATATGTTCTTTCGTGAGAGACAGATCCCCACATCCACTCTGATCACTATCAGAGTTTCGTTTAGAATGTTGTTCTTCTAACAGAATTCAGTGAGAATTTAGTTAGATTCCTATATCACACTACAATTACACTACATCTTATAAGTTTAAGTTTGCATCCTGGTCATAATTCTGCTTAGAACTTTGTTTTTCTAACAGAGTTTTGTTACAATTATGTTGCTTTAGGCATTTTATATTAGCATATGTGAATATCATATACTCTTTTCCTTACACCTGAAGTAAAATTTAGTTACAATACTGCACGTCATTGTGATTTGCAGTATCATATTCCGAGAGTACATGCAATTTATCATTACGATTGCCAAGGATCAGAATAACTATTTAGAATCTTCGAATCTTTACAGACTATTGGCTTAGTTTATCAAACATAGTTCCATTGGCTGAAAGGTACTAGAAACTTATTTTTCGCACGTCCATGTTGATGATAAGATTTAGCAACTAAATGAAAGTTTCTTTATATACTATGTATCTGTCGATTCATAACTCTAAATTTTTAGCCTTTTCCTATAATTGTTTGCATACATCATTTTTATATTTCAGTTGGATTCAAAATTCTGAAAAAACTGTACTGGAGACACAAACTCATGTTGCCTTTCTCTTAGCAAAAGTGTAGGTAACCGCCGATTCCAACTAAAGCCGTCAGTTAGCTGCTCACAACTGACCGATTTCTACATTTGGTATTCATTACTAAAAAAATATTGAAAATTTAATCTTAAGTATTTATTTATTGATATCGACTTTGACTTTCATATGAAAAGCAAATACTATTTTAGAGTATCCAGAAAGTAGCTCAACAAAGAAAAATTTTGAACACATATCTCCGCCATATTTTGCATAAATGGGCTGATAATCTTACCACTGATAAAGGAGTATGTATACCTCATATTTATAAAGGAAACATTGTTAAAAATTGTTTTAAAGTAACTCCACCCATAATTGAAGACCCTCCTCATAATAGAAGACTCTTGGGAAAAGAATTGTGTTCCGCTTAATAGAAGATCCCTCCCCATTTATATAAGGTTTTTTTTGAGAACTGCAGATTTTCATTAGGTTTTTACCCTGAAATGTGTCTATTTCTAGAGTTTTCAGCTGAAAATTTTCAAATCGATGAGTGCAACTCTATATATAAGCTTCGAAAATCGTGAAAATTCTTTCTCCAATTCCAAAATCGCGTCGGTTTTCTGAAAGGACCTTTTTAGTTACAAAAACTTATTAGCGTAGCCGCTGCGGAGCCAAAGTGCAGTACTCATGAGACTCAGACGGCTACAAATTTATATTATACTCCCAAAAATGCGTGGAAAAGTTTATTTTCAAAAGATATTAAATAAATGAATAGATTACAACTAATTCTA